ATAACTTTGTTGTTCTTGTTTTTTTTTCTAAATATCCCACCAAAGAACAGTCATGCAGGAAGCAGCAGGGGAAGGAGAAGAAGAAAATGTGAATCCACATTTCACAGTATTCTTATCAGTGAATTTCACCTAGAAACATGGGAGACTGTACTACATACCATGGAAGCAAACAGAAGAGAGCCACAATTATTTTAACCAAAAAAAACCCCAGTATCTACATATCCAAACTCAAATTTAGTGGCAGGATTTTCAAATGCACTCAGTAGAAACAGACATACATATCCTGTGGATTGTTTTAAAATTTCCCTTTTACAAGCCTAACTTCTGATATGTATTTAAGGACATACTGTCAACGTTGTCCTTTCATTACACCAATCCCTCCTCCTTTTGTCATCAAATACTCCTTTCCAGAGTATAGACTATATGAGTATAGATAATATCATCTAAAACTGAGTTGAGGAATCTGTGTTAATGCTCTCCTGGAGCCATGTCCACAAACTGGGGAGACTCCTTTAGATTTAAGAATAACTTTATACATGCAAAATTTCCATAATAGATTTTAAAAACAGTTTAACAATCTACCCTTCCCACCCCTCTGTTCCTCAAAGGCAGCAAAAAGTCTGAAGACAGAACTGAAACATGGCTTTAAAAAACAGCCCACAGACATTAGGTTTTGCTTCCCAGAAACCAACTTCCAGCATGGGATTCACAGGAAGAGACCCTCCTTTCTGTGGCTAAGGGGGAAGGTGAGGCACATGGAAGAAAGAAAGGGTAGGGGATGTCAGACTGCATTCAGTTCAAGAACATACACACACTCACACACACACACACACACATACACACACACACACACACAATTACATTCCAGTGCATTTGATGTGTTTGGTCTTTTCTGCTTTTCCTGGTGGAGAAGAGCTGAGCTGTGTAACACCTGTGTGAACACATGCAAACCAAAGAAACAGAGACCACTGAAGTCTTTAGGAACTGTAAAAGATTGTCCTAGGATCTTTTATCAATTCCTTGAGGTATTTCTTCTTGCTAAAACAATCAAAGGCAACAGGTAGGCATTTTTGCAAGTGATCACAAATGCCGGTTTGAAAGACAGACTCTTTTGAAGGACATTATTAAAACCTTTTTTGCCAAATTATGCTAATACTCAACAGTACTTGGTTCATGGGCAGACCTCCCATTAATATGAACCAGCATTCCATAATTCTTTTATTTATGATGCTGCAGTAAATACTGCTGGTAAAACAAGGCAAGACCTCCAGAAATCTGCATTCTTGTTTGATGCTAGCACATACACTGAGTGCTTTCCCTATTTTTCCCTTTAAAAATACCCTCAATATCACACCATTCAGCATGTCACAGTCTCACATTCCCACAGCTTCAGCAGAGATATGGGTGAGGACCAGCAGCAGAAGGGTGGAATTCATTGAACAGTTGATAGGGTCACATTGTAATAACTGCCTCAAGTAATTTTGCTTTTTCTTAAAAAACCAAACAAACCAACCTTTCTTCCTAGTCTACTAATGGTCAGGATCAGCTGTTTCCTAGAGGAGTGCCAAGTGCCACACTGAATGAAGTTCCACCTTGGGTACAGCTCCAGTGACTGCTATGGAGCAACTCCAGGACTGTAGTAACTTCACATACGCACATTGCCTATACCTTTAATCCAGGCTTAAGGGGACAAAATAAACAGCCAGTAGAAAGAAAGATGTCTTTGCAATCACACTTTCTATGCCAAGGAAGACTGGGTTCCTTGCCTCTATTTCCTTGCTGATGCACAGCGCCAAAATAAAGGCTGACAAGGAAGTTTCTTTCAGGATTCCTCAAACAAGAGTTTAGCCAACAAATATTTAGTAACAAGCTATTTAAACTGAAATATGTGATCAGTTATGCAGGAATTCAATGCTACCAGGGATCATCAGCACCTTGAGAGAAGGCTGCAGCCCTATACAGATCCAGCAGCAGCACTTTCTATGCAATTTCATCCTCTCCTGCCTTTTTTGTATCCTGTTTGCAGCAGTTTGCAGCTATCCCTGGGCAGTCACTTTGTGATTACTGGCTCAGCTTTCAAGAATTGCAGGTAACAAAAGTAAAGCTAACTATTCCCTACTAGCACCAGGCTTGCTGGATCCTAGGATGGGCAGGTTACAAGATATTCAAAAGAGTAGGAAGCTGGGAAGGGATAGGAAGAACTCCATCCCTCAAGGAAGGACAGTTGAGTTCTGAAGCCATTTTGGAGATCTGGGGACAGCAACTAAGATATTTAAAGGCTGCTGGCACCATCAGCAGCAGCTCAAGTTTTTCTTAAGAACTGCTCATTAAAAACAGGAATTTATTTTAGGAGAAAGATCCAACTCTTCTTTCTAAATTGTTAGACTCTAGTTTAACAGCACAGAGAGAAAGCATCCCATTCTTTACACTAGAACAAACTCATATCTAAAAACCTGAGCATAATCCTTCAGCACAGGATTTAAAACATGTTCTTTGGAACCATTTCTCTAAATAGTCAACATATGTCCCTGGCCACACTGCAGTAGCTACTCTGCAGGCAAGATCTCTCGAGCAGGCGTTCAAGGGGCCTTACAAACACAGAATGGGTGACACATACATGAGTGCTGTGCATCCCTGTGTTTGTTGATAAATGTGTGAAAGCATCCCACTATTTGACCAAGTAGGTGAGACTTTAAGTATGAAGTAGTTACTTTTCCCTAAGCGAATAACCAGCCTGCCCCTCCAAATCTACGTGAAGCAAAGTAAGACTTTGGGTTGACAGAGTGTATTTCCTTTCTCTGAGATATGCAGATATGGAATATAATTAAAATATATTATCAGTGGTTGTAAATCTCTGGCACCAGTAGCCAACACACATATTGCAGGAAGTTGGCCTTTGTCTAACATTAGCTCTATGTCTCCAATGAAGTATTGTTGTTCAAGGAGGTTTTGAGACCCTGGCATGACCAATTTTGATAAGTCTGTTGTTGCAGTGGGAAATATGGACTGGCAAATATGTATCTTTCCCTGAGCCAAATGACTTTACTGAGGCTGGCAGCCTGACTGAGGACCCATTTCAGGTACTTGTTTCTCCATGTTAAGAAGAGTCTTGTCCTAGATAAATTGATCGGGTCTTAACACTAGAAAGTGGCAGTACCAGACTTATCTTTCCAGCTCAGGCATCCAGACGACAGGCCTTATTGGCCTGTTTGGCCATCGAGTCAAGGCAGAGGGAAAGGGGAAAGCCCATGAATGATTTTTAAATGTCAGAAGCAGTTGCTGAATTTTTTGTAGTTTGCAGGGCTGTTATGATGTAGCATTGACTGTTCCTGATAAAAGGGTCCTAGCAAGCAAGAAATGGAAATGCAAGCATCACATCCAAAGGCATGCCACACGGGGAGGTATCATTGCTGTGTTGCTTCCTGAGCCTCCACACTTTCACTTCTGCCTCTTAAAGAGCTTCTTATTTAACAGTCTTCTCCTTAACATTTGACTTCTCAGGGGTCCCCAGTTCAATCTGTGCTTGCACTATATCTCAGGCTTTCCCCAGCATTTAAGTCCTCTTTCTCCAATGACCAGCGTTTATATCAAGCAGACTGTGCAAAGCAAAGTATGGAAAGCCTTGTCTCTGGCAGCATGGACAGAGAGTGGCTCCCATCCTGCTGCAGCATAGTCAGCAACAGCTATCACTTAGATCACTCTGGGTAACTCTGTAGTGCACATGCTTAAAGGAACAACACAAGACCAAAAACAATTCCCCCTCCTAAAAAAACCTCCCACCCTCCCTCTTCATAAAACCCATCCCCAAAAATATTACTTGAGATTCATTTATATGAATTATTAACCATCATGGACAAACATATTACTCTAGCTCTAGCTAGAAAAATAACAAAAAAGGAGAAAAAAAAGCTTTTCTCACATAAACTCTCCTTATGTTTAAAGAGAGTGACTGTGAATATATGAGGGTGAAAAAGGCTTGGGAACCTCTTTCAGGGAGGTAAAGTACGTTTTGCCACAGTAGAGCAGGATGAAAATCAAAGAGAATGGGGCTGAGAGAAAGCAAGAGGTCCAAATTTAACTCTGTTCAGCAAACTGTTACCAGACACTACAGAGCAATGATGAGATTATACAGATACCAGAGAAAGCAGGAATTAGAGACAAATATGCAAAGAGGGGTGGAGAAGGAAAGCATATGTGCAAGTAAACTACTCTTCCACACAGTAATGCATATTTTTCAGAGTGGATCAAGAGCAGAAGAATTTCTCAACACCTGCAGCTGGACATTTCTAACACAACTGAAGAGCAATTCTCTGGACAGCTCTTCCTCATGCTGGTTGTATCATTTGAGACCTACAACAAGGTGCAGTGGCAATATGGAAATTTTCAGAAAAAACAGTAAGGTCTGTATTGCTTCTCTGTTCATGTTTTACCCTAGCTGTCATTGGGTCTGTGAACTAAGTATATTTAAGGCTACAGAGAAGCAGCTATCAATATTTAAGGCTACTTCCTTTTGGTAGGGTAGTTTCCCTGTGCTGGTCCAACAGTGTCAGCCATATGGACAAACCTCTGAGTGCATACGAACTGATAGAAGATCTCCCTTGGAATAACATTACTGCTGCTAGTCAGTATATGCTTACAGCAGCCTCCAAACACTACACGCTAGAGTAATGGACAGGCTGCTTGTACAGTGTACATATCAGACTAGATGCTAATTAATTTCCCTGTCAAATCCTGAAGCAAAATTATCGGATGCCTGGGATCTAAGCCTTCCTAACCAACCACATTATATAGTAAGAGAAAAGAAAATCAAAATAAAATAAACATCCATCATACAAATACTAAAAACATATACATTAACATTGTAGAAGAATGACACTTGTGCCATATTCCATGGATTTTGGCTTCCTGCTGGCTCATGGGCACTGAGAACACCGAACTGAAGGCAGGCAGTGGCAGAAGCTAATAGCCACCAGCAACTCCAAGAAGGTTTATTTTTCAGACTGTTCTACTGATTTTTTTTTTTTTTAATTGATGGGAATGACAAAGAACAACTTCTTGTGAGAGAGCTGCAAGTGGTGCCCAATGGAATGGTTGAAGAGGTCAGATTTCTTCGTGATTTTCTCTCATGCAGGGTGCAATGAAAGAAACAGTAACCAATGAATAAAACAAGTAACCTGATGGAACCAAGCTACTTGAATGCTTTTCATCACTAAAAATGTGGAGGAATTGAGCATCTCTGCTCTAAAAGACACCCCAAGTATGTTTAGTCATCAATCCCAGGCATCATTTTTAACTAGCAGCCAAAATGTCACTCCTGCACTCTACCATCTACTGCACAGGGCAGAGGAAGCCGTCAGTCTAATATCTGCCTCCCTTGCACAGAGGTCACTGGTGCGGGGAACCAGCAGCAAGCTTTACCAAACACACCCACATTCTGGCTTTCCTTCAACAGTGTTGGACAAGAGCTCCCTGCCTCATGAGGCAGGCAGCAGCAAAGAAGAGTCCATAAAAACACCCAAACTTGAAGACGAGTATCAGAAAGTCAGAGTCCTCACATCCGGCCGGCGGTGTGCAATGTCTCGCCCCCGAACCAGTGTTTGTTCAGTGCTCCCTGCAGACTGGATGTGGCCTGAAACAGGCGGGCGAAGCTCACCTCTGCCCGGTGTGGTTCCTGTTCACCTCCGTGTTTAAGGCCAAGTTGTGTAGGAAGAGAAAAAGCTGCCACCACACTTGATTTCTGTTCTGCTGATGCTGTAGAGAAGAACAGTTAAAGCAAGGTTATTTATATTTCTAAAATTGCAACATACCACTTCTCTTTTCCAATAACAACTCAGTTACACTTTTCAAGAGCAGACACTTTAATCCCATCAGCATAACAAGGGGGTGCAGCAAGGGATGAGGGGAGAGAGGGAAATGATAAGTTCTCCAGAAATAATTGTAGCTCTAACATTACAAAAAGAAAAGAGCAGACCCTTTATGCATTGTGCACAAGAGGATTAAAGTTTTTTTTTTGCTTGTAGGATTTCGCAGAGTTTAGCCAAGTGCTGTTTTTAATCAGATTGGCTTCTGAGCCTTTCAAAAGCCCCAGCTGCATGAACAAACAACCTTTTTTTTTTTTTTTTAAAAAAAAAGCCCCCCTTCACCCCAAAAGTAAAAAAAAGAAAAAAATATAACTGGTGATCCATCTGTAAGTGATTTGACACCGTGAAGGTCAAAGGGTTAATCTTCAATTTAAACCACACTGCTGAGACAGCAAAACTCTGATTTCATCTAGTACAAGAAAACACATTCGTGCACACACACACTCCCCCACCCTCCCCCCACCACATTTTCCTTCCCAGCATCTCCAAGATAATACTGCCCTTTTTATAGCCACTTTTGACAGTAAGCCATAAATAATCAGCCTTGGAGCCCTTTCCTACTGACTGGAGCCAATTAAACCTTAAGCAAGAACATACTTGAAAACACACAAAAAACCAAAACCAAGAGGTTATTTCAGGTCCCATTGTCAAGGAAGAAACATGGGAGTTGAATTTCAGGGGGACACCAGACTACATAATGCAGCTTTGGGACAGGGACGCTGTTCCTCCTTTTGTTATATGTAATCACCCCTGAAAAAGTGGCTCTGATTATACCCCCACCTTCCTGCACTTTAATAGCATCTCATACAAACAGGTGGGTTTCTCCTTACATTGCCCAGTCTGGGATAGTATTTCACCTCAATAACCAACTCTATTAGAAGTCAGTCTTCATTTTCTCATCCAGAATTCCATATTTGCTAAGCAGGCATGATCATTTCTGGAAAACAAAACAAACCAGCCCAAATCTCCACCCCCTACCCCCCTCCCCAATCCCCAGCAGATGAGGAAACAGAAGACTGGCTTCCCACAACTTTGCCTCAGTACACAGGAGTTCATAAAAGAGCACTGAAGCACATTATATGAACAAGATGTTTCAACTCAGATTAGCCCAACAGGGCAGAACTACACAGTTGCAAGGCATTTTTTTACATAATCACAAATAAGAGAGTTGCAACTGGAATTGGTGCACTGGAGATGTGTCAATAGACAGCTCTTCAAAGCCCTTCCAGATAGCCATTAAATAATGTTTGTATTCCAGTGTGAGTAGATCTGTGCCATTTGAATCACAAGCATACACAAAACAGGCTTCCAGAAAACCTGTATTCATCTTGCATCTTAGAAGTGGGTCGTTATTCTTGCCCTCAGGACTTAACAAGAAGAAGAAATCAGTTTGGAAAAGTCTGCACATATCCCAGTACACATTTCAAGAGCACTGTGTTTGTAGCATAACCTGTAAGCAGTGGCTCTAGAGCCTGCTATTATTTATTTCAAAGTAACTAGTCCTGGGTTCAGTCCTTACTGATTGCACAGGCATTGCTAGGTTTACAGGTGAAAACAATCTTTTAGAAACTGTCCTGCAGGACTGGGTTTAAAACCACTAATTTGGTCTCAAAAAGCAAAAGCAAAATTTCTGTTTTATGGCTCGCATTTCAGTTTGACCAGGTTTGCCCTTCCTCATCAAACTCCAGAGATTCTTAGCACCCTCCTCCACACAGCCACACTCATAAAACTGCTCAAACTGCACAGGGAACCACAATGTCCCCGTAACATCTAGGTATCATTTTTTTATCAAGCTATTACAGCTTAGGCAGATTCCTTAAACAGAGATTTTTGGGTAGGGCCTCAATGAAGTGCCATGCAAGAACAAAGTGGTCTTTTGCAGTTTCCATGAGCAAGGAACTATGCTAGGAGAGCATAGTGGACAAACATATTGCAGATGCTCTGAAGACAATCTGCTTTGTTAGATTATTTTATTCTATTGGCAGCCAAGAGAGTAAAAAATTGCCTTATAGAGACTTAGTAAGGGAAAGGAAAAAGGATGTTTACAACTTGATACAGAAATCCTAACTTTGAAATACATCTCAGCTTCATTGGTGGACCCTCTCTAATGGAAACTCTCATGGAATTTTTATAAAGTGGATTAATCTGGAGGCACACAAAAGGAGTCCTGATCTGGCATGTACAGTTTTACTATTGCACACTGTTGGGAGTGTGAAATAGTTCTTACATAAACACATGCAAGAATCCCCATAATAATGTCCTCCTTCATGTAGGAAGCTGCTTTGTGCTTCTCATACAATAACAGGTTTCTAATTATTCTGGATCCTCAAGTTTTATACCTCACCTCAGGAGAAAAGGATTACCTGCTCTTTCCAGCAATAGGTAAAGGAGGCCATGTTCTGAAAAAAACAGTGGAAGAACTGAGACTGAGCTCATATGCCTTTTTTAAATTTTTTTTTTAAGGGGGGAACTTTTTGAGGAAGGTATAGAGTTTTGGTTTTATCTGGTAAATAAGAATTTTAGAACTGCACTTTATGATGGTTTACAGGCCTGCAAGAGAATCAGTGGAATGTGATAAGGCAAATACTGAGAAAACCTCTAATATGTATTTTACATTATATTCTATTGTGTTTATTTCACTGCCTCTTGAAGTCACTTTTTGGTACAGCATTTTTGTCCTTTTCCAATTAAAACTGTTTCCTGTATTTGCCTGTAGGCAAATACACTCAAAGAGATTTCCATGCAAGAGCAGAATAGGAAATATTTTACCCTTGGTCCTCCTTGCTTATAAGAAGCATGACATCCCAACTACATTGAGGGCAGCCTTCAAGGTTTTATTCCTAGACCTAGGGCTTGTTTGTATTTCCCTAGGTCTGCATTCAGCCAGCATGTTCTTCCATGGTGGTGTGGTCCCACACACACTTTCACTGGCCCATGTACTGGAGCAGCTCACTCACAATGTCCTCTCCCCACCGCAGTGCTGGAACGTGAACTAGAGCAGCACAGTGATCAAGGCCAGAACTAATCTGATAAAGAAGTTGCCTTAACTGTTTAACAGGTCATACTAAACTATCTGATCCATGCATCATGTACTCAGTCTGATGCTTGTTCTAGGACTACAGAAAGATGATGACCTGTGAAGAGGACCAAACTGGGACTACATGCTTCAGCAGCAAGCCCAGCTAATGGGGTTTGTAGTTATAGCTTCACTTCTGGGCTGATCTGCTTTCTGTGGTAATAATTCAGTATGGGACAAGAGCCACAGAATGGAATGGCAGATATTATTTGCAGTAAACTATTTATGGAAAGAACTACAAAATGTCCTTTTCACAAGTTTCTATGTCTTTTCCCTCAGATGTGCTTCAGCCAAGACCAAAATTCTTCCATATTTCAAGATTGAGGGGTTTTTGGTATGGTATCATTTAGCTGTCAGGATGGACAGAAAACCCAGAAGAGTGATTCCACAAACTTGGCATATATTTTTTTTAATGTGATATGTTTAGAGACATTTTTCTATGATTCATAACTATTGTGACACTGGTGTATCATTTCCCTAAGCTTCACAAGGGTGATTTGCCCTTTATCAAAATAACTCAATCCTCAGAGTCACTACTGCACAAAAATACCAGGGATGAACACTTTGGCACCTCTATGTGGGAGCAACAAAATAACCCATTTGAGGCTTCCTTCCCAAGAAGGAAAGAAGCCCCCTTTTGCCCTCTACACTAACTGTAACTAAAGAAGAGTAGACTTGTGAATACAGTAAGTCAACACAAAGCTGGAAACACATAAAACCATTTCCTATTGCAGCTGCTGCTTTTTAAAGGGGATATCCTTAAGAGACTGTCTGTCTGAAATGTTAGCATGAATGCTTCAATGAGTCACAAGAAAAGGCCATTTTACAGGAAAAGTGTTCTCTGCAGCAACAGTACATTAGTGAAGCCTCTTCCATGAACTGTGCTGAACCAAAAGCCAGACTACTTGTAAACAAACACAAAAAAAAAACCATGCAAGACTTTTACTGGAAGCAAATGAATGAGGAACATGACTGACCTGACACTTAGTTGTTCCCCATAATTAATTCCTAATACATGTTTCACACTGTAAGCATACAGATACGTATCTACCAAATAGCACCCCAGACATCAAAACTTTTTGTACTCCTACCAAGCCCTTGCACAGGGTGATCAAAGGGAAGATCAGGACAGGTGACGCACTTCAAAGAAAATGCTGTCCCTTTTACACAGCCCCTTGAATCCACAAGCATAAATGTTTAACAGATTAATAAGACTCATTTTTACACTTGATATACACGTGCCATTAACATCCCCGTTTAAAAAAGTAGATATGCTTGTCATATACACATGTTGTATGTGGGTCTGTCTGGTACACTCTGTCCACCCTCTTGATCTCATGGGCAGCTTCTGACTTTGCTTCATAGTTTCCAGACAATTAATGGTCATATTCTGATCCCATCTTAACTAGAAGGATGAATATGGCCGTAAATGGTGCTGTGAGAGCAAAACAAGAATAATGGCATATGTATACATAAAAACATTATTCTTCCTTTAATGACTAATATAAGTATTAGCAACAAGTCGTTGAGACTGTATTTATTCACTGAATACAAAAATACTTGCACACCAGGAGCAGTTGCTGACTCATCGCTGAAGGCTGTTTGGCTGCCAGGTGGCTGGAGGCATATTGTGCTACCACAAAATATGCTTTAGCTTAGAAAGACTAGAAAGTCACAGTCCCCAAGGCAACAGAGGTTACAGAAGGTGTCCCCTACTGGAGAGAGAAATGCAGACCATTGGAAGTCAAATACAAATCTTTCCAGCTGTGATTCCTAATGACCAAAGTATAATGCATGTGTAGAACCAGCAGAGT